ACCATTCACTATTCGTTACTTCTGAATCCAGTTAACTTCTGACACCATGTTTTATTATGTTGTTTATTCATAAAATAGAACGTAAGCAGTAATACAAATGGTTTAATATCGGTGATACATTACAGACTCGTAGGCCATTGGCAAGCTTCTAGAACAAGAGTGATCATAATCACGTGTCTCTCGTGATGACGTCATATAGCGGGAAATACAAACTTGTTATCTAACAGTACATAATACAACAGTCGGGTGCAGGATTGGCGTGTTGTTTAAGTGAAAGGCTTCATTTTATACACACGCATGGGATTAACACTTTCATCTTGTGACGGGTTGCATCACGGATTAGCAGCGAAAGCGGCACCATGAAAGACAGTAAGCCGTTAATCCTGAAAGAGAAGAAAAGAAAAAAAATGGAACCAGGGGACACCCGGGATTGAACCAGGTACCTCTCGATCTGCAGTCGAATGCTCTACCACTGAGCTATATCCCCACTGTGATAGGTGACCTCCTACAAACATCTGTTTCCCAGGTCTCATCGATTTTTTCAAAGGGAACAAACCAACAAACCAACAGACGAGTTTTAAATGTCAACTACCGTCTCGACAAGCTACCTTTTTCTTCGCCACGCTGGCCTTTCTTTTTTACTTCTCAGGCATAGTCAGGTCTCCGTGGCGAATGTTGTTTGTATTTTCAAGACAAAAAATGGTTGCCCCAGATGAGGCTCGAAATCGCAACCTCCGCAATCTCAACCCGTGAGCAGCACGGGGAAGGTACTGTCTATTGGAACTTAAGTCCAACGCCTTAACCACTCGGCCACCACACTGCCTGTATACTGCGTTTCAAAAAGGGTAGACGTTTGAAATTCCCTTTGGGTCGTATAAAAAGGAAGAGGGTTGGGGTTAGGGTTTGGAGCGTGAACCACGTCGCAATCTCTGTTAAAAATGTAGTATACAAGCAAAAAAACCTTAGCCATTCCTGCCGTGACCAGGATTCGAACCTGGGTCGTCTAAGCCGCTTTAATGACGTTGCTGATATCGCGCTTTAAGCGTGTCAAGTCACACACCCTTCTCAACCTAAGGAACCAATTCAGTCTTGTGAAGTTCCCACCACAGAAGAAGATAGATACGGATCTTTTCCAGTATGACACAGAGAATCACGTGGTTGTACATGTCCTGGCCTGAATTATACATTCTACACAATGACACAACTGCTAAATCGGTCATTTACAGGAATCATTCTCTCAATTTGGCATTCCTGATGAAATATTTTCCGACAACGGGAATCAAACAGTTTGCAGACCAATGGGAATTCAGACACAACACTTCCAGTCCAAGATACCCAGAGTCCAACGGCAAAGCCTAAGCTTCTATTAAAGCCATGAAGGATATTGTCGGAAAGTGTCGCAAGGATAAAGTATAAACAGTTAGATATGGTCAAACTTCGTAAAGGATTGGTAGCCTTTCGCAATTCCCCATTATCAGGAGGAAAATCACCAGCAGAACTTTATCTTGGTCGACGTCTCAACGGTTCTCTTCCTCCCCATCCATTCTAATTTCAACAAAAATGGATGATGACAGACAAAGAAGTTAACCGTCGCATGAATTGTGCCAATGAAAAGTCTATCCATGGTTACAACAAAAGAACATATCCTTTACGTCAATTGAATGTTGGTAGTCCGGTACGAATCCAGTTCAAATAGTCAAACTTACCTTATCAATATTGGATATAATCCAAATAGTCAAACTTACTTTATCAATATTGGATATAGTTCAAATGATCAAACTTACTTTATCAATATTGGATATAGTTCAAATAGTCAAAGTTACCTTTTCAATATTGGATACAGTTCAAATAGTCAAACTTACTTTATCAATATTGGATATAGTTCAAATGATCAAACTTACTTTATCAATATTGGATATAGTTCAAATAGTCAAAGTTACCTTTTCAATATTGGATATAGTTCAAATAGTCAAACTTACCTTATCAATATTGGATACAGTTCAAATAGTCAAACTTACCTTATCAATATTGGATATAGTTCAAATAGTCAAACTTACATTATCAATATTGGATACAGTTCAAATAGTCAAACTTACTTTATCAATATTGGATACAGTTCAAATAATCAAACTTACCTTATCAATATTGGATATAGTTCAAATAGTCAAACTTACATTATCAATATTGGATACAGTTCAAATAGTCAAACTTACCTTATCAATATTGGATACAGTTCAAATAGTCAAACTTACCTTATCAATATTGGATACAGTTCAAATAGTCAAACTTACCTTATCAATATTGGATACAGTTCAAATAGTCAAAGTTACCTTTTCAATATTGGATACAGTTCAAATAGTCAAACTTACCTTATCAATATTGGATACAGTTCAAATAGTCAAACTTACCTTATCAATATTGGATACAGTTCAAATAGTCAAACTTACCTTTTCAATATTCGATACAGTTCAAATAGTCAAACTTACTTTATCAATATTGGATATAGTTCAAATAGTCAAAGTTACCTTTTCAATATTGGATACAGTTCAAATAGTCAAACTTACCTTATCAATATTGGATATAGTTCAAATAGTCAAACTTACCTTTTCAATATTCGATACAGTTCAAATAGTCAAACTTACTTTATCAATATTGGATATAGTTCAAATAGTCAAACTTACATTATCAATACATGTAGTATGTTAGTATAAAATATTTCATTTGATCTATTCAAATTATTTACCGCAATTTATCAATATTTGATAAAGTTTCAATATATGATATAATTTATTTCATATTTTTTTTCTATGTTACATAGTTAGAATGTTGTTTCATAATATCCCATCTTCACCTATTTAAAATATAAAATTTCACTTATCAATATTTGATATGGTCTCAATATCTGATATAATTTATTTCATCTTTATTCTTATATCACATAGATAGTATGTTTCTATAAATATTTCTTTTGACCTATTCAAATTATTTACCGCAATTTATCAATATTCGCTGTAGTTAAAATAGTCAAACTTCACTATTATTCAATATTTGATATTTAACTAATTTTTTTTCTAGTAGCAAAACAAGTAGCTCCTTCAAAACCTCTGATACTTATATTGCCATTATAAAAATCTACATACTCCAACCCCATGTAGATTGTGTGTACATATGTACATATGTTAGAATTTATGGTTTTATATATGATATTGTATATTTTCCCTGTTTTTTCCCTGCACCTCTCCGTTAATCTTTTGTGTATTATTTCAAGCATAGCATCCGATTTACAACTTCTCATTATATGTTATATTTTTTATTCACAGTTTACTGTTACTACTTGCTGGTGACATTGACAGAAGGAGTCTGAAATATCATTTAAATCAGATGATGAGTCACACTGTGAATTCTGGAAGGAAAATTATAGAAAACCACAAAAAAACCATTTTATTTACTATAGTTAAATTTATATTAATTAATATTGTTTATATCTCCGAAATAATTATAGGATCATCACCAAATTCGATATGTATTATCTTTATAATCATATTGACACACAATAAAAATAAACAAATCCATAAGGAATTGCAGTTTGTTGAAGAAAATACTGTACAGAGTTATCTTTCCATGGGGTAATTTATTTTTTATTAGAAACACGAATGATAATAATATACAGAAAATGTCACGTGATTTAATTTAATTTCCGTATTATTAAAGGAACGAAAAGACAATCTGAAGATTACGATCCAGCTAACATGATCTAGTGGTGAAGTTCCAAACAGTACAATCTAACTGATACGATCCAGTGGTGAAGTTCCAAAGAGTACAATCCAACTGATACGATCCAGTGTTCCCACTGGATTCCAAAGATTACAATCCGAGTTCTGCGTTCTACAAAATCTACGATCTAAATTATGTTCTAGAAAGACTAACGTTACAAAAAGTAAATAAGATAGCTAGATAATAATTTGGATTTTATAAGATTAGTCATTTGTACCTAAGAATTGACCACGTGATTTAAATAATTTTTATAATCTGATTTGAATCCTATTTTGAACCAGATCCAACGTTTTGCCTATATATTGTTTGGATTTTGGGTTTCGTTTTGCGGTTTGGAATATGTTCTCTCCATGGCTCAAGACCGATTAAAGGGACTGCTGCTAATGACATATGAGCGGCCGAGATGCTGGTCACTACGATGAACTAATTGACGCATTCGGTCAAGGCCCTCGAGACTAACCCCATTACACTGACTTGGTCACCGGCAAACGTAAAGAAAACGCTTGAAAAAGTCATGTAAAATTAAAAACTTTACATCAGTTGCACCTGCAACATACGAACATATTGTGTTCCCTAGGCGCGCTTCTAATACAATCTATTGGTTTGGTGTACTTTTTATTGCGTTTATTAAGATGCTATTGCGCTTGTCTAAAGTCATTCTTGATTCTGTGGCGATCTCAACGCGCCAACAATACGGCTTATACCACGCCTGGGGCATGACGACCTTAACATGCTCTGAGCAAGAACAGTCAAAAGCACTTATTCAAATACTGAACCACAGGCATCTGTTTCTATCAATAGTCGACTCTATCTACATAGTATATATATGAGAAGGTGGCTAACGCTCGTCACAACCACCTCCGCTTCAGACGATTTTCTACCATTTAAACTCATTGGATGGAAATAATGAAATTTTCCACACCATAAAAAATGATGGAATGCATGGGATGGAAACAATCAAACACAAAATCATTGTTTCCAAACCAGTACTTCAAAAATTTGATTATTTCAAACCATGAAAATCTGCTCGTCATTCTTTGCATACCATGATACTGTTACATATCTAATTTTGATTATTTGCATCCCAGCAAAGCATTAAGGCATGCATTAAACTCCCACTTGGCGCGATTAGATTATCTAATTTTGATTATTTCCATCTAAGCAAACTAACCGTCATGGTGTGTTTATTGTCATTGCTTTAAGCGACTCTGATTACCGATTTAATTTAATTTAATAATTTTTTTTCATTTATTGCCTTTTTTATATCAGATCCCCTTCTCATAAATCCCCACGCCTGTACCAATGACCTGAACGTTGAACATTGATTCTTTGCGATTTTCAGGTTGGGGTAAGGGGAGATTTACCTGCATAGACCTGAAAAGCTTCTTTTCGTTTGATGGGCGGGGCTGGGCCCTCTATAAGGGAACTTGGCTCCAAAAGCTAGTTACACCACTGCTTGTGAATGGCGAGTGGTGAATGTCGTCCAAGGTCCCGGGCAGGGACAGAGCCAGCCCTTTAAGAGTGAGGGAGTAGGGGGATTAGGAGTAGGAGATACATTGAAACGATGGATGTAAGTTTTTTTAGTATTTTTATTGAATAAAAGTTAGATTATTAGTATGAAGGGGAACACTGAGGGAGATATAAAATAGGTCTTATGTGAAGGGAAAATATTCAATTAAACGATTCATATAAGTTTGGGATAATGTTTCATTACGGTAAATGGTAGAAAGTCGTCTGAAGCGGAGGTGGTCGTATATATACTATTATAGAGAGAGTGGAGTATTTATAGAAACGTGCTTGTGCACTGAACTCATCGATTTTCTGTTTGTATGCTCTAATTAAGAATTAATTTATCTTAGCTACAATAAGTAGTATAAGTTCTTTTTCGAGTTTTGCATTATGGACTAACATGATTGTGTTCTATTTATATCTAATTGTACACGCAGTTGTAAATATTTGGAGACACCACGCCACATCTGTCATCTTTCAGTTGTTACTTTTATAGAAAACTCTATTTCTCCAAATATAAGGATAAGATATAAATGAATAGAAATCGCTATTAAAGGGTATCAGTGATATTCCAACGCCGAGGGTTTATTCTTTTACCACCATCGAAAATCTAGAGCACATTAATATATGGGATACAATAAGATTCGAACGGCATTAAAGAGCCAAACATCTGTAGCCCAATCGTTCATCAAATGCTATTTAAATCCCGTCCGATTGTACACCTTCCAGATAACTAAAACCCAGTTATCCTTGGTTCGGCTCTCCCACACTCGCACTGGTGCCTATTGTGTTTTCATATTAAAAGTGGTATTTAAAGAGGTAATATACCGATAATACACCGGACAGATTTTAAGAGTCATCATATTGATGAATATCATGACAAGATACAATCCTTGTCCGCCATCTTGGAAAATGGCCGCCATATTGAAAATATCGTGTGGCTAATGTGCTTGTTTTCATTTAAAGGGACAGTTATACTACAACTATGTCAAGTTTCATAACAAAAAGGGCCACTATAATTTTTTATTATTTTGAGAGTCATTATGTGCACTTCTCACAAATGCATATTTTTTGGAAATTAATTACTTCTTTGGCGTAATAAACTTGCTTAGAATTTATCACAAAATAGTTTGAGGTCGGTTCCTGATCATTTTTCTGTCCGGTTATTTTAAGTTTCACGTTTTCTTTGGTCGTTTCAGGTCGATTTCGGTTCATGTTTTAGTGTACGAGATATAAAATCAATACACGCGACCAATAACAGCACCTGTTGAATTCATTATCATGTATTGCAAATATGTTACGCACTCAATATATTATTTTACATACCTCGATAATCATCAATATCAATGATTTTAATATTTGCGATATAATGTTTATTGGCATTTTCACAATAGTTGTCAAAAGTGTTCGACTGTTTGGAAAATATATTTGCAAGCAATACTCTACTTTAAATATTTACTTGTTGAGTTGAACGTCGAAGTTTTCTGCACCTTATCGCGTTGAAAACAAACAGCGTTGATGCCAATTTGCAAAATTTAATTTTAGCCTGATGATAATTTCTGCAAAAAGTATATTTATAAATGTATGTGTAAATGCTTTTGACCATCAAACTATAGAGAGCATTATGGCAAGGTCTTGTTACAAGCATTCAACCATGTCTATAATAGGTATAACTATAGTGAGAGTTGCCTGCAGATCAAAAGCCCTCGGTAGCTTGATAGCTTGCAAGGCAATATACTCCCACTGACAGCTTTGATTTCAAATAAAGAATATTTGGCAGTACAGTAATTACCAGTATGAAATATTCGACCTTCAGTCATACACTTTTTTTTTTACTTTTTGAGGCGATACCAAATAATATTATATATTATAAGTTTCGTCAAAGTCTGCCAAGAATTGGGCACTGTGTGTTTACAGGCTAACAGGTTTAACAATAAAACACATGTGATTATCTCTAATCAAAATATGTAAATCGGGTTAGGTTATTACAAAATTATATTTTGTAATTTCACCTTTATATGACAATCAGTATTATCATTAACTTAATATCATTATTGTATCTATGAATAAATATCGAGTGGCACAGTAAAAACGATAACACTTTTAATTTCAGGATTATTCATATAGAATTTTGAAGCTGAGACCATGATATTTTGACCTCATAATCATAGAGACATTAGACATCTTTTGAACTATTGATAGCTTAACACGGCAGTGGTAAATAGCCACTGCCTTGAAATACATACAATTTCAATCTTCTAAAAATCATAATGCCGAAAGTAATTTCACCTCATACATATTGGCCGACGATGATCTCTGGTATTATCTGGGTATCGATATATTGCACATTGGGGGTAACTCCAAGAAAGGTCAAGAGTAATTGTAGGCCTATTTCATGTTGCCCAAAAAGTTTGAACGATTATTGCATTATTCAGAGTCAGGGAAGAATAACTAACGTTTTTTTTCCTTATAGTTGTCGTTTCAATCTTCAAAAAACAGTTCCCAAGTCCTACAAACTGACCCAAAACTATATCTGCGATACGTCAGGAAATCGCGTTTCTGGGCGTCAAATTCTCAAAAAAATTTTGTTGTGGTCGCACAGTATCTATACAAATAAACCTTAAATTCGCCAGGACATGTCAGGAAATCGTGTTTCAGGGAGTCAAATTCTCTCTCCCTAGACTTCAGAAAATCGTGTTTCCAGGCTTCCAATGGGCGTCCTCGGCAGCAATAAAGGTATCAATAACTCTATAGAGAGCACTACTGTAATGCTTAACAATTCACAAAGTTTTGCGTGAGGGGAGGGGGGATATCTAAACTGCCCCCCTTAATTGGACTCAAGACTTGTTCGATTGGTTGCTACGTTATGTTTATACTTGCATATAGCTATTACCATGAAACGTAAATCAATAATATTTATAATTGAGTCTCTATTGTCTTCCAACCAACCGTTCAATTCTAAACATATTCAAATGTTAAATACCCTATTATCGTTAATCTAATTCTTTGTTCTGAATTAATAATTAATAAAGCGAATACGTCCACCAGCAGCTTTATAAAGAGCTAAATGTGAACTGTAAAACAAACTATATATCGTAGCCTATAGAGTGAGCACGAGCCAAAAAAGTGAAAAAACGCAATATCAGAGTTTTATGCGATATCTCTCAAGAAAATCATCGGATCCTCACCAAATTCAATAGTGCACATCTTCATAATGATATTGACACACATACAAAAAATCAAAAGAATCTATAGAAAATTGTAGCCTGTAAATGTAATCGGACGGACCGACGCACCGACAGGGGCAACCACAATATACACCCATACTTACGTGTGGGCGTATAAAAAGGAGCAGCACTAACTAACAGCATGCCCGAAATGTAGTCAATTTTAACACTTCAGATATTGCAAATTTCAATTGATGTTCATTTGATATATTTGATAAAACCAGATTATTTAAAGTGATACTACGAATGATCATAAGATTTAAGTTCTCAAGAATGTTCAATATGAGTATATATCTATCACGGTATCAGTGAACGTATGTTATAAAGTTACAACAAATTCCCTGTAAAATCTGGAAAATTTGAAAATTCATAAAACTAAGTAATTATTGAAAAACGCTTAATCTTGATATTAAGTTTTTTGGATTTATCGGATTATATAAGGAGCCTGTTATGTTATTTATGACACCAGGTATATCTACTGAAGAATATATGCTCTTATTGGTCAAGTTTAAAATTCGTAAATTTTATGTTCATTCTAAGACGTAGTATCACTTTAAGATTAATATCAGTTGTAAATTAGAAACGATAAATTCTGTATTAAGGCCATACCAAAATAATATTTTGTTCGTCGGGAATTCCGTACCCGATTTTCCGTTATCGAAATTTTATTTTTAAAATTAAAAAATAATATTCCGTATGTATCAAAAGAGCTCCCGTATGTAAAATTTTGAAAAAGAATTTTTAATTTAAAAAAAAAAATTATATTGCCCGTATGTCCGTACCTCAAAATTGATCAGAAAACATGATTGTTTAGCTCTCATGTTTAGTTTCATTTTTATTTCTCTAAGCCTAAAATTTGGTAGCAGGAGTAACAAATTGCGCCCTCTATTTTCGTTTGTCAGTTTGTGGACATCGTGCGACAATTATAGTAGAACATGTTCCAGCTGTTGAAAGAGTGAGTTCGTACAGTAGTTTAGGCCCTTCGCTGAAGCAAGAACGTTTTCTCGAGGACCGAACGCATCGAAATTCCGGAAGTTGTTAATTATCAGAAATAGGCATGGCCGATGCAGTGCTAGAATTAATATTTGTATTTGTCTTTTTTACCAAAATGATTTTAGTAATCAAAATTAGGTCACACCAGAAACTTATTTTGCCATACTGGCGTTTGATGTTGAATCTGAAAACACTTTTAAAGATGTTTATGATCTGGCATCTGCAGGAATTCAATCGTGCATATCACAGATCCCAGAAAAAGTGTACATCAAGGACAATATGGAAAAATCAGGCGGTGTCTTAGTTACACTTTAGTTGAAAATTTCTCTGTGTGATGAACTGAAATCCAAGTTTGTAGACTTTTTAATTAACTTGCCTGCTCATTCTTCGTCTGAAGAACCTGTTTGTAATACTTTCAAAAGTGATAAAAATGTGTTCGATTTTATGATGGCATCAAGAAAGACATTAATGTTTCCTGAAAAACCTACACCACCAGTCTTTGACAAAACCTTAACTGGACCTCAAAAACTATTTTGTGATGTGCTAGATTGGTGCAAAACAATTGATGATGGCTGGTCAAAAGACCAGTTAATCTGTGCAAAAGAAATTTTGTGGAAGATTACAAATAAATACTATTAATTGTTATTTTATCTGAATACATTCAAAATCATCCATGCTTGAAAATTTTAATGGTACGAAGGGACTTTTTTTTTTAAAAAATTAAAAAATCTTATATCGCACCAACCAAATCAATGATTACTAACTTTTAGACATTTTTTTTTTAAAATTAAAAAAAAAATTTCGTTCGCTCGTACCTTTTTTTTTTCAAGAAATCCCGAAGAACAGAAAATTATTTTGGTATGGCCTAATGCCTCATATTTATCTACGTCTTTTTATCGGAGCCCAGAAAAAAGGCTGGCCCGGCTTTCAGTCAGATGTCTGTGAGTTTTGCAATTCCATTTAATCCAAGCCAACATTATTATCACTGCGGTTCTTGCATATCATTGGATGCTTTTGCGCCCTCTGTCACTTAAATAAATTGTCGATATAAAGCGAAACGGTATGAACCACAGACGTCCAATTGAAAAACGGAATAGTGCAAACCCATGTCATTATTGTCCCAGGTACACATAAAATGTTCAGAATTCTTTAGATTCCCTTAAATTTTATGTTCATTCTCGTAATCAAGCTCAAATTTACTTTCCAACTAAAGGTTGGCGTTTCAGGACTGATCTGCCTTTGCTGTGACAGTCTGAACAAACTGGTAAAACCACTGTGTATTGATTTTTAAATTATGTTATCTGTGATGCTCCCATATTCTGGAGAAAGAGGAAGCATAGAAAGGGAGGGGCGGAGGGAGAGTATTGACTTTGCCACGGACTATGTTCTTGTTTCATCTTTAGGCAGTCACAAGCTGCTTGGTAAAAACGTTTGGATATTTTTCTTGTGTCTTGGTGAAGATTTTGTTAAATCTAATTTTAACTATGACCTGTAGTGTACTCGCTGAGCTGAGCTGACCTGACCTGACCCGACCTTCACGCATATTCATAAGCTAGCCTCGTTTTGTTTATAGCCTTGCTTGCCTTGTTGTGCAGTTAGCGTGCTAAGCCTTGATCGCTTATTAGTTTTAAAAAGTTTAATAGCGGATTTCTCCTACAATCATAGATGTCATCAAGGAAAAAGTCTGTGAAGGGAGTCAGAGACATGGAGAACGTTCCTGAACCAACGGGAGAAACTCTAAAAGACTGTACAACTTGCAAATGAAAATTTTGAAACGCATGTGGTTATCAACGACATGCCTAACATGGCGACTGATGTCATCGTCGCAAGCCAATTATCTCGTCATCCCAATATTCCGCTGGGTGTTGCAGCGTTGGAAGCAGAGCTTCAAACTCTTCAAAAACAAAGACGGTATTTAACTCTTCAAAGGCAGATATCTGCAGAAAGAAAAGCCGTAAATGATCTTGAAAAAGATGGAGAAACCGTGCCTATTATTACGGAACCTCGTGCAGTTGAGAACGGATTTGAATTCACTGCCTCAAGTACAGCACCAGTCTCAGGTGAGCTTGAAAGACTACTTCAATCGCCACTTGTTCGTGATGCCGAAAAACATGCTAAAGCCTTGCAGATTATGGACTTTCTGTGGGTCGACTCTATTCCCCAGTACAGTTCACACTCTTTTGGTACAGATAGTGGTATCGAGCTCCGTGTTGCTAAGATAAAACCCTTGATAGAGTCTCCATTGAGAAATGGAGGTATGCCAACAACCAAGTTTTATTGAAACTTTTGAAACAGAATCAATTAGATACTGCAGGATTCATATCTTATATCCGGTACACATCAGAAATCTTTTGCCTTGCCTCCAAGTGTGTATGGTATTCGGTCCTTCTTTATGATAAGGAATACAGAGAGCATCAAGCAATGGAACATTTTGAATGGAGCACACACCGTCAATATATTCGGAAATTCCAATTGATTCTAATACGCGACCATCCTACAATCCGTGCCTTTCAGGATGCCAATACTATCAATGATCGTCAAAATAAGACCTATCTGGGTGGTGCAACTCGCTACATGGGCAACCAATCCGATCGACGTAAAAGACATTTTCTCAGTGATGGTCGTGAAATTTGCAGAAATTTTAATAATGACAATTGTAACCGCGTTGACTGTAAGATGACACACAATTGTGCATTGTGCATGTCTTTGTCTCACTCAGCAGTTGGACATACACACTCGTCAGCTAACGCCCCGGCAAAAAACTACAATCGCCCCAGGGATGGGGCATCAATTTTATAGTCATTCGAGATACAATGAGTGAGTCCAGTCGCGCTAATTGCTTGAGATACAACGCATGGTGTAGGCTTCTACCTGATAATTTCAAAGACAGGGACTTTTTGCTTGACGGCGTACGCAACGGATTTCTTCTCTGCAACGTTTACGGTCCCCATAAACCTGTCGACCGCAAAAACTATAGATCAGCAACCGCTTACCATGACAAGGTTAAATTCAAATCTTGCGTGAAATTGAGCTTGGCAAATACGTTGTCACCGATGTCAAGCCTACCATAGTCAGCTCTTTGGGAGCCATACCAAAGCCGGACGGTGGGATTCGCATTATACACGATGTTAGTAGACCCGAGGGTCTTTCCCTTAACTCGTATACATCAGATACATCTTGCTCATACATGGACTTGCGTTGTGCTTTGGAGCTAATTAAGCCTGATAGTTTCTTAGCTAAGGTAGACTTAAAGAGTGCATATCGGTCAGTGTTATGTAGCAAGGCTGATCATCCGTTGACAGGATTGCAGTGGGCTTTTAAAGGCGGTAACACCCCTACTTACATGTTCGATCGCAAGCTACCCTTTGGACATTCTCGCAGTCCAATGCTTTTTCAAAGAATAACATCTGCCGTGTGCAACATTATGCTAACTCGTTACAATGTGACATGTATTGTATACCTTGATGATTTCCTGATTATCGAAGATGATTTTGATAAGTGTAATAAAGGGCTACAACTCCTACTTATAACCTTACGCGACTTAGGATTCAATATAAATTGGTCCAAGGTGGAAGGCCCTGACAAGCATTTAGTTTTTTTAGGCATAGCGATCGTCACTGAGTGCCTTACATTAACCCTTCCACCGCCAAAACAAGCTGAGCTTTTGGAAGTGTTGCAATCGTTTTTGTTTCGAAAACGCGCTAGTGTAAAGCAACTTATGTCCTTATGTGGAAAGTGATTAAAGGGAGGCGGACTTTTATGCGACGACTTTTTGATACAGTGTCACCTTTAAGTGATCGAAATGCAAAAGTGTTACTTGACGAATTTTTCTTCGAGGATTTAGTGTGGTGGATTAAATTCCTCCAAATTTTCAATGGGTCGGTAAAATTTATTGATCCTAAGCCTATAACTACTGTGTTTACGGACGCGTCTTCGGGTGGTTGTGGCGGTGTCTTCCAAGGTGATTTTTTCTATACAAATTGGAATCTGGATTTGCCTATAACTGCCAATGATCACATTAATATCAAAGAAACCTTGTCAGTGGTTCTTTCTGCGATACATTGGGGACCTCAGTGGCAAAGCAAGAAAGTAATTGTGAACACAGACAATATGACAACCAAGTATGTGTTAAACAAAGGAACATCTCGCAATCGTACCTTGATGTGCTTCTTGCGATTTATGTTTTGGTTGTCAGCCATATTTAACTTTGACTTGGTAGCCAGATATATCCCTGGTCGTCTTAATGTTGCTGCTGATGCTGCTTCGAGGCTACATGAACCAGATCAACTCAGTCGACTTTATAGCGTCTTGGGAAGTTATGATTTTTTCTTCCACGCTCCAGAACTTCTCAACCATGTGACACCTTTGTTTTTTAATTATAGGTGGGGTTCCCCGAGAATGGGGCTTAAACCGGCTATATTCAACAGTGGAACGTTTGAAAGGCAAGGGATGGGCTAACACTACTCGCAAAAACTTACATAACACACTGGAAGACCTTTAAAGACTTTTGTAGGCAATATGCTCTTCCAGTGTTTCCTGTCAAAAATGCTACTATAGAAATGTATATAGCTTATCTTGTTGATGTCAAACACTTTACTTATAGCAGTATTAGATCTTATTTGAATATTATTTCATTGTTATATAAGTCGAACAATTTACCCGATCCTATTTAGAGCTGGACTGTTAAACATTTATTGACTGGCGTCAAGCGAGAACTAGGGGCAGGTCAAAACTGTAAAACACCTGTCACGCCTACTTCGCTTCTTAAAATCCATGCGGCTTTGGATTTACAAAACTATAACAACAAAATTTTTTGGACTGCTTGTTTGCTTGGTTTTTTTGGCTTCCTTAGACCGATTAATTTTCTTATTAAGGACCATTTTGATCCGGCTGTTGATATACAACGACGCGATGTCCAGATTACAAATAAAGGTTTAATTATTCGACTTAAAGTCACTAAAACTATTCAGTTTCGCACTAAGGATATCTTTGTATTATTGCCTCATTTGCAAGATCACCCGCTATGCCCAGCAACTGCGCTTCATAATATCTTATGCCTTTTTTGCGATCTTTTCAGTATATTTTGCATGGTATTGGGTTAAACTATAAACTCTATGGCGGACACTCCTTTAGCCGTGGTGCCGCCTCTTGGGCATCCTCTGTCGGTTTAAGAGATAGCAATATCAAACTCCTGGGTTATTGGTCCACCGAGTGCTTCCAGCGTTATGTGCATTCCGATCTACATCTTCGCCAGAAGGCTATGCATAATTTTTCATGCTTAATCCCTAAAACACTTTAAACAATAGACACAACGTCATTTTTTATACAAGTACGTGTGGGTTTGGGATTTTATGTTGTAAAAATGTTTCGATATTTGTTTTTATATGTATTGTATGTAATTTTCATTCATTGTTCAATTACTTGTTTTTATTGCATTGGATACTTGAAAATGTAATAAATGTTTAGCCACTTTTATATTTTATTTCAATCCTGTTGTGCAGCTATTGCAACTTATTGAACGAAGGACAAAGGGTTAAATTGATATTCAAACCCTTTGGGTAAATTGTACTCATTTGCAATGAATAGTTTGGTCGATAGATGCAAGCCACTCAGTAAAGTTATCGAACAGAATAAGTTTAAAATAATGTATCACAGTCTGTTACAGTTTGGAACAATGGAAGTTTACTTTTGACTCAAACCTGTCCCAGATCTACAGCAACCGCCCTCATATGATGCTATATAGCACAAGTTCACGCAGTTTTACCGTCACTCTTAGTGCAAAGGTAGTGCAATGACAAGAAAGACAAAGTCCACTGTCTGCATAAGTATGTCCACACCCCAAAGCATCTGTTAAATTAACCACCATTTGGGTGTCGACCTTCCTAATCCCAACCTCTTCTTTACTTTTACAAACACAAAGAAATATCTGCCAGTTTCTGCCTGTTAGCGTAGCGATCTCGCATTAGTTCAAAACGACATCAATGCTGATACATATTCAAGGAATGCTCTACGGCTATCTGGCTTTAGTATTTGAATGATGGCACGAATGGCATGTGGTGCATCTGTGTTCTTGATGGCAATCTCTTGTATGGGCTTGAGTAGGTCTGCCTTGCCTCTTGATGGAAACTGTCCGTCTTGGGAAAATCCTGGAGGGAAGGCTCGGTTCATTTTACCTTGTGTGGCTTTGATCTGTCGACCAAACGCTTCATTGCAAAGGATTGAAAGTGTTCTGGCACCAGCAGGTCGGTACTTTGGTAAAATGGTTCCCCATCTCTCTCATGACAGACCTAAATGCGCGGATATCAGTGCCAATTTTGATCTGTGCTTTGTTTGTTCATAGTGATGTGTCTGTCTCCTGTCGTTGTCGCGAAGATGAATGAACAATGATGTCATAAGTATGAGCACACACAATACATTACTTTCCTGTGTGGCTTTGATGTTAAAAAAATGTTAAATTAAGAGTATACATTGTACTGTGCCGACATCTTTAAATTGGACACGACAGTAGCTGTAGCCATTTATAACTTGGATCAGGGGTTTATTGCTGACAAAGAACCAGATATATTGACAATGGTATATTTTTGATGGTGACCATTTTGAAATCCAACATGACGGCAGTTGTAGACATAAACATTTCAAATCAAAATGGTTACAATATTATTATTTGTATAAAGGTATAACCGTTTTGTTATCAGGTTTTTAATTTAAAACACCCTGAGTAATCTATTAATACACATACACAAAACTTTCAACAAGACTTTAATTTGAGCAGATGTAGTTAAAGCCATAAACATCTTACTAAATTTACAGTTCAGAATGAATGTGTTTTTATAGGCCTTAATGATTCTTTTGTGTTAAAGTCCAATAAATAAGAGTAGATTTGAGGTTAAATTACTTTGTTCGCCATCTTGCTAGATTCTTTAGCCCTTTTCTTGATTATATCTTGTCAATTATCACCCTTGACCACCAGCTATATTGAGCATCCAAATTTTAAACTGTTTTCTTTGACTGCGGCCATTGTTCTATTTATAACTCTATGACCGATTTTGAAAGTTCAAAGCATGTAGTCAAAGTTATCCAGACGTCTTGAGACATCAACCGCGACACACCAATTACATCTTATTGATCAAGCATTATCAGTCTATCACGCGACTCATAATATCTTTTCATAAAGATAAAATTCGAGAGAACCAAATTAAAGAAAATCAAACCAGCCAATCTAATGGAATTTAAATAAAAATATTACTAGAACTGTTCCCTTCACAGTACTGATGCAGGGCGTGTTACAACAAAAAAAACAACTTACAAAGGTAGACAGATTAAGACCGGCCGCGCATGCGAACTATACAAATTCCAATATATCCCTATGTACATGTCTTTTCAAATACATACAGTTTAAAGAAATTTGGATTTGAATTCAGAATTTAATTCGATGAAATTCGGACAAGAAATAAGAAAGTTGTTAATGTGCATGCGCACTACGTAAATCGTGCAAAAAAAGGCAAAACTGAAAATCGAAATACGGCTCTCTACAAGTTTTAGATAAACATTTAATCTATCATTTGGCGCCAAAATTGTGCAAATCGGATAAAATAGCAAAATTTGCATAATGAGGCAAACTAAGATGGCGACCCATTTGTTACTTGAATTAAGGGCTGAATTAAGACAACGAGCCGAACCATCTGTAAACACAAATCTATGAGCGGAGTGTTGTAACTCACACAAACCAAGCTGACAGCCGAACTTACCAAGTTCCAGTCCACGACCAACTGACTAAACCTTAAATACCCAACAATGTTGCATACTGCACGTGCAAAGTGAGACATCCGTTTCCATTGGACAGCATTTCATAACAATTGTTGATTGGCCAAAGTGTCATGCACGGCTTTGTATAGCAAGTACAGCTCTATAGTCTAGAAGAAACCCTACTTCCGGTTGACAATTCGGGAATACAATCGTATAACGTAATATAATATAGAAAAATCCCCTACACATATTTAAATTGTTTACTATATCTAATTCTAATAGTGACTTTCGTGTAATATTCATATCACATTCGAATTTATTTTTGTCATCAAGTTTGTACACTTTGGATTTTGCTATCCATGTCTATCCATTTGATTTTAAGGTAATGGATGGGTAATAATTTCAATTTTATAATTATATCTGGTTTCAAGACGTTAGAGACTTTGAGACGTTTTAGCCTCACTTGTTTTTAAACATTTCTTATTCACCTGTTTACAAAACAGTAAGGGCTTTGCGGCATGTCAACCTCTAACAAACTAGCCTGGCCAAATGGCTGCAGTCTGATACGATGACTTAATTTTTTTAGTTTTTTGATCAGTTGATTATTACTATACGAATTAGACATATTATGACATAAGTAAAAGAGGTATTTTGTCTTTGAACATTGCACAGATGTATCGTCTCGCTGTATTAGACATAAGTACATGGCATCTAATTCTAAATACGATTGATCTCCATATTACTGCACTGTCAGCAACTATAATTAGTTAGTAAAAATTCCCTACTGGGGAACAGAACCTCAGTATTGACCATGGTATTATCTATAACATTGTCTTCGTCATCTTGATAGCAAAATGTACCACTGAGCGATGTTAAATCTTCTTAATCTGAAGCTGTCTGTCCACAATTCGTCACCTAAGAATTAACAAGGTCCATCAGCATTTTTTATACGCCCACATTATAATGTAGACGTATATTGTCGTCACCTATGTCCGTCCGTCCGTCGGTCCGCAATTGGCTTGTGAACGCGTTCGATATTCACGATTTTTTGATGAACGGTTTTTTAGTTATTGACCTTGACAAAATTTGCTTGTGAACACAATAGAGACTACAGTTTTCATCCAATTTAAATGAAATTTTGTGTGAATATTTATAATGATGAGATCTTGGTCAAGTCTGAAGTTGGCTATATTTCGATGGACGGTTTGTGATTTCGGGGAAGGGAGGGTTTGATTCTCCCTAATGTACAGGCCTAGGGTGGAGCAGACACTTCATTTAGAAATTAGGATTAAGGGTCTTGATATTGGGTTTTCTTCTGTTCTTATTCTGATCTGAAATTAGAGAAGTATAATATCTGTTGTGAACAATATTATCATTTAAGTTCTTATTTTTTGAATATGCAACTATCATTTTCTGCTTATAGACATGGGGGAATTTCTCTTGAAGGCTCTTATAGTAGGCATGAACTATCTTGCTTGCTCGATTGCTGGTTGTATTGAACGGGACAACAAAGGGTGCTATGCCTACATTATGATGAATATTTAGTCCTATAGGTCTTGCTGTATTCAATGTCTCAATCCAATGGGCTTCCCTAGATTGACGGAATTTGGTAGTTTCATCTTCGGGCAAGTCAATTTCTATACGCTCAATTGGGATTAGGGTGAGATCGTCTATTGAATGGTCGTCGAGGTTGAAATGATTAGAAACAGGCTTGTCTTTCTTTAATTTGATGTCTGACCTATGAGCATTAAAGCG